TTAGTGGACCAGAAAGAGCTTGACATAGACTCACATAGGAATTTATTGTCAGGTAGAGGCAGCAATTCTAAATTACTGAAGAAATGACAGATTATCCAATAAATAGTATTGAAAAAATTGGTTATCAATTTTGAAACTTATTAAAATTAAGCATCAAGAAAAAATTAAGCACTGATATCACACTTAAAGTTAGCTTCATACATAGTAAAGATTTAACTGTGAAAATAGTAAAATAATGTAAAATATATATGCAAGAAAGAAAACTATGAAAGCTTTAGAAAAGATACACAAAAAAATGGTTGTGTATAGGGAGGGCTTTTTTAAGGCAAGATAGGATTTTAATTTGACATAAAAATTAAAACTTCATAATAAAAGATACATTACAGTTAAATGACAAGGGTCAGAGTGGTAGAGAATTGTGTTCAATGCATAGAGTAGACAGAGAATTAATATAAAAAATATATAATGAAGTCTCACAGATCAGTAAGAAACAGACAACACAGAAGAAAATGGACAAAGGACATGCACAGATGATCCCAATGGGAGGAAATATAAATAGCCAGGAGACCCCGGAGACCACAGTGTGGCCAGGAAAACACAAATGAAACCCAAAAGAAACCACTGTTTTCATCCATCAGATCCATAAACTTTAAAAGCTGGCAATGGTCTGGAAAAAGGAAAATTTACATTTACTCGTGGAAGGAGCTTAAATTGGTACAGCAGCTTCTGAAGCCAACTGGGCCACTTGAGAAGCCAACTAGGGCTGTGTCTATTAAAAAAACCAAAACAGTGGACACCATAGAGGTCAGAGTTCCACTCTCAGCACCTACCCTATAGAAACACTTCAGGAGGAGGCAGGTGCCAAGATATTCCTGGCAGCGTTTTCCATTTTAGGGGGCAGAGGGGAGACCCCTCAGATCTATGGATGCTGGAGGAGGGGAAACAAGGTATATGTGAAAGAGTATGAAACTGTACAGCTGTTAAAAAGTACAATAAGAGCTGCTGTATCACCAATAGGGGTAGATCTCAAAAATCATAGATTAAGTGAAAAATGCAGGACACAGTATAACACCTAAGACGTGGTATGATTTATTCAAAATATCTCCATCAATACTATCTATAGATTTACAGTGGAAGGCAGTTAACTCTGAACAGTGGTCACCACTGTGGAGGGGGACAGGACCAGGATCTCAGGTGACCCAAGGAAACTTTAGTTGCATTCATATTGTTCTACTTTTAAAAGGAAAATGTATTCACCATGCTTTACTTGTTTAATTAAAGTATATTCTGAAAAGATTCTAATTTGTTTTCAGCCAATTACGCTGGCTCTGTGTGATCGGCTGTGCTTGTATGTTTGTGCCCAGGGAGGAAGAACATTTGCTTTGTGTGTGTGTCTGCAAATCAAATACACTGACTAGTAAACAGGTTGAAATGAAATACGGAAAAACAAAGGCCAAACAAATAAGGGGAGATGAGATCCTATTCACAGCTGACAACAAAACCTCTAATAAACCTAGGAATAAACGTATCAAGAAATATGCAAGACTTTAACTAGACAAACCATAAAACTTCCCTGAAAGACATAAAAGATGACCAGAACTGAGAGAGACAGCATCGTGCATTGGTAGGAAGGCTTAAATATGATAAAGTGCCAATTTTCTTCAAACTTATCCATAAACTCAATGTGATCCCAATTAAAATCCTAGCAGAGTTTTTCCTGAAACCTGACAGGCTATTTTAAAATTCATGTGATGGGACAAATATGCAAGGATGACCAAGGCAATTTTACAAAAACAACAAAGAGGGTAGGATTTGTCCCGCCAGTTAGCAAAGCATATTATCAAGCTCAGGAGTAGACAAATAGATCAGTGGACCAGAAAGAGCTCTGACACAGACCCGCACTGGAATTCAGTGTCAGGCAAGGGCAACGATTTTAAATCAGTGGACAAATGATAATACTATTCCATAAATAGTGTTGGGACAATTACCTATCCATTTAGGGGGAATGAGAAGGGATTAAAGTTAGATCCTAAGATTCATGCATATGGAATTTATTTTTTATATATGGTATAAAGGCTTAAATATGTATCTATATAGAAATTATCAAATTTAGAGAAGAAAATACAGGAAATATTTATGACCTTCATATAAAAAAGACTTTCTTAAATAAGAGTGTAAAAAGTAAGACTGACAAATTTGATTGTATTAAAATTAAAATTTCTATAAGACAAAAGGATACCTATACAATTAAATAATACCAATCACAATGTAGAAAACATCCGTGATACACAAAACAAAGTATTAATACTCAAATCCACAAAGAACGCTTAAAAAGCAAGAGCAAAAAGACAAAAAAAAAAAAAATCCCCCCCCCCCCAAAAGAGAGAAATAGGCAAAGGATATAGACAAGGAATCCAAAGAAGGAAACAAAAGCAGGGAGAACAGTGAAACAGCTCTGCGTGTCCACATCGCGGAACTAACAAATGTGAACATTTTGAATATGTACATGTTTCAATTAAAAAGAAATGTTGCAGAAGAAAAAGATATTTAAGACAGTAAACACGTGGAGACTTCCGTCTTGCAGGTAATTTAGAAAAATGCCAACTAAAGCAGGATATTTCACTTATCAGACTGGTTAAAAATGGAAAACTTCGACATGGTCTGGGGATATGAACACACATGACTGGCAGGAGGTTACATTAGAAGTCAATCTGGAGACCATTTCAGAAATTTCTATTAGAATTTAAGATATGTATACCCTATGATCCATCAATTTCATTTCTAAGTATCTGTCCCAGAGAAATTCCTGTACATTTTCAAAACGGGCAATTATAGGATGCTCTTACAGGTTTGTCTTAATGGGACGACACTGGAAACATTTGAATAGTCAGTCAATAGGAAACAAGGAAATCAAATCAGCCGCCACCCGTCATCAGCTGCAAGGAACGCTGCGGCACACCAGCTACACTGGAAGTCCTGTAGGGTGCACTGAGAGCAACACTTCCGGTGTGTACACACCACGTCTGTGCAAACACACAACAGAGAACAGAATATGTGTTTCAATGGGCATAAGAAAACATTTTGGATAAACGGCAAAAGCCTAAGAGCAGCTAATTCTGCAGGGGGAGAGGGACCTATGGTGGCGGGGGATGGGGGGCCCTCAGTAGAGACTTCTTCATCTGTAACACTCTAATTTTATTTAAGGGAAAATGTATTCATGTATTACTTGTATAATTAAATTTTAATTCAAAAATTCTAATTCATTTCCAGCCAATTAGTTCTACTTTACATGTGTGCTGTGTTCTCATTTGTGTGCCCAGGGACAAAGCACATTTACTCTGAGTGTGTGTCTGTGAATGAAGCACCATGATTAGTAGATTGATTAAAATTTGGAAAGCAAAAAGAAAAAAAAAGAAAAACCTTTTCCACTCACAAAAGGAACAAAACTGATAAGGAACTTGGCAATAAACCTAATGAGAAATGTGAAAAACCATTATGACAGAAACGACCAACCTTTATTAAAAGGCATTAAAAACCAAACCAAACAAATAAGACTGATTAAATGGAGACAGACACCATGTTCACAGATGAGAAGAACTGATATCCTAAAGATGTTATTTCTCCCTTCAATGCAATCCCACTCAAAATTCCAACAGGATTTTTTTTTCAAGAAACTTTGACAAGCTGATTCTAAAACGTACGTGAAAAAGTTTGATGACAATATGACCAAGGTAATTTGAAAAAAGAATGAAGGGCCAGGAAGGGAAGGGCGCTTACCTTATCGGGTAGTAAGATAAAGCTTTGCTCATGAAAAGCTGATATTAGCCCAGAAGTAAACAGATCAACAGATCTGAACGGCGTGTACACATAGGGAACTGGGAGGAAAGATGGTGTTGGGACAATAAATAGTGCTTAGCAAACTGGTTGTCCATTTAGAAAAAGATCAAATTAGATCTGTAAGTCACACCGTATATAAAAATACATTTCAGATGGGTTAAAGACAAACATTGTTTAGAAATACAGAAGACTTCGATGTAAGTATCACTCATGTGGTGAGGAGGCTTCTTTAAACAAGAGTGCTTGCTACCTGCTCCAGTGCTAGCACTGCAAATGTTATCACCGCAGTTTGATATGATGCTTTAATATCCGGCAGGTCTCCAGTTGGACTGTCCCTCCAACCTTCCGTGCATGCCTGTGGAGCGCCCCCACCTGGGCTTCAAAGAGCCCTCCCTTCTCTTTCAGTTCAACCTGGTTCTGGGAAGAAGGACTGCGACCCTTATGGACTGAGGACTGACCCAGCTCCTACCACTTGTGCTCTATGCCAACAAGGCACTTCCTCCTCTGGCTTCTGGTTCCTCCTCTGTGAAATGGGGTGATGTTCTGTTTCTTGTGAGGGAAGGTGAAGTTCATATGAAACAATGAACCTGAACAAGGATAAATGGCACAGAGCTTACAAGGACAAGAGGAGCCGACTCCTCTACATTTTCTCCACCCACCCAAACCCTTACCACCATGACTTAATGCCCCAATTCTTTCCTGCATCATGCCTGACTTTTGAAGAACAGTCACCGATTCTTTTTGGTTAAAAAGTTTGAATGTTGACTTCAGATGTTTCTTTTCAAGGCAGGTAATACTGATTCGGCACCCAAAGAGCTTACTGTCTGTTGCTAGGTGCTGAGAAACACAAAAAATAATAAGGCATGATCCCAGCCATGAGACAGGATAAAAATGGTGCTAATTAGAGCGGCAGTTGGTACACAGGTCAGATAAAACCTCCCAAAAGAACATGGAGATCAAGTTACTTTCTAAAAGGTAAATAATTAAATTTTACCCCATTCAGTCAAATATACATTATTGCCCCAAACTAATTTATCCACCACCACTCTTGATCCCAGCCCCTGTGGGAACTCATTTCACTAATTGTCTCCATTCTTAATCACTCCATTACTTAGGCTCCTTTCCCTCAGATGATTCAAATACCAGCACTGCTCTTTCCTTGAAGGCTGAGTTAAAGGCCCTAGACTTTGTTCCCTCTCTCCTTTCTCTCCCCAATCAGCCCCCCACAAGCTGCCTCTGTTAAGGTCCCCAGAAGTCTCCTATGGGCCCAGGGCTGCCAATCAGCAGGGACACCACACTGCCCAACTCCAGGGGTGCCATGGTGATTGTGCAGTTGCACACTGGAGGGGTCACGGATCAGCCCTCCGCACATACCCACTGCTGACCACTCCATCTTTCTGTCAAAAGACTTCTTTGTCTCTTTCTTTTCAGTACCTTAGGAGAAGTCTTCTTTCCTTTTACAGGCCCCAAATGTTGGTGCCTGGCTGCTTCTTCCTCAGCCTCTCTCAGAAACTTCAGAATGCTCCAGAAACCTCATACCACTTCAATTCACATTTCCACTCAGGATCCCTCACAAGTTCTGAACCAGTCTTTGGGATTTCTCGCTGTGTTCCAGGCCCATGTATTCAACCACTTCCTCCCCATTTCCCAGCTTGGATGTCTCAGCTGTCTACCACCAGACTTGGGGTCTGCCTCACAGAGCTTATTCCTTTCCAGGGCACCCCAGTTCTGAGAAAAGCAGTGCCATGCCACCAGCAAGGCAAGCCCGGAACTCGGGGGTCATCCTGAATACCGCCTCCTCTCCTGCCCCTCTTCCTTCCACCCCGCACCAGGACTAACCAGAACGTGTGTCCAGACCCCATCTACCACGAGAACAGAAGCATCCTAATGGTCTCCCTAAGGTCTACTCACCCGTGCTTCCTCTAACACTTTCTCCATAGACCAGCCAGAGCCTCAGATCATAGCAACACACGAGGGCAGGTCTCCAGCATACTTTCCTTGCTTCCTCAGGATGGAAGGACACAGGTGCTCAGCCTTGGCCACCAAAGCTCTGCACAGCCAGCACTGCCTGCCTCTCTGGTCTCACCTCCCCTCCCTTTTTACAGGCTGTTTCTTCTGCCCAGAGTGCTGTTCTCCAATTTGCTCTGTCCATTTAACTACTTTTCCTTCTTAACAACTTGGTTCAAATGTCGCCTCCTCAGGGAAGCCTCCCGGAGTTGGCCTAGGGCAGGTCTCCTTGTCGTACATACACCCTCCAGCACTTAGCACCTTTCTTTCAGAGCACCTACCAATGTTGGAAATTATACGTTTATATGTGATTATCAGATTCACGTCTTTCTTCCCTACTACCATACGAGCTCCATGAGAACAAGAATTCTGTCTATTTCAATCCATTTAGCACAGAATCCACAGTGCTAGGCACACTGCCAAGGCACATAATAGGTGCTAAACTAGAATATGTAGAATGAATGGACTTTTGTCACTAAACAATGCTTATCACATTTGGGAGTCGGTATCTGCCTATGAACTTGCTCCTGTCTTTCCTTTGCTCAACCTCCCCATCCCATCCTTCACATCTCAGTCTTCCTTCCAGACTCCTCAAAGGACTCTAGTGACGGATTCACCACCCTCTCACATCTCAACACTATTCAGGCTTCTGTCCCATCACTCTCCCAAAATGCTCTTATTAAGGTCATCAAAAGCTTACTAATCATCAAATCCAAAGGAAAAAAATCCTGTCTTTATCTTATTGGAATTCTCTGCTGCATTTGACAGTGTTGATTACTTTCTCCTTGAAACTCTTCACTACCTTGGTTGCCATGGCAACCCACCCTCCTGGCTGTTTGTCGCATGTCTCAGGCCCTTCCTTCTCTTTCTCCTTTGTCGCCTGCCCACACCTTGACTGGTTCCTTAAATGTCACTGTAACTCATGGTTACAGGGCCCTGGGCCTATCCCATTCTCTTGCTCTCGGGGATTCATTCACTCTCGGGGTTCCCATCACTCGAGTGGCCACGGCCCTGGGCCAGTACTTCCAGTAGACTCTTTTCCTGAGCCCCAGACCCTTGAACCAAGTGCCTGCTGGGTTCCACAGAGCTATGACGCTGACCCCTGACTCCTGTATCTGAGACCACTGTCTTGCCCCTCAGACTGGCTCCCCATGCTGTGGTCCCCACCATCTACCCAAGGCACATGGGAATCTTCTTCTTCACCCTCTCTCCCATCCTAATAGCTAATCAGTCACCATTTCTGGTTCTTATCTCCTACAAATTCTGGATCTATTTTTCCCCATCTCCACTGGCCGAGTTCAGGCCTCTCCCTCCTATCTTTCTCTTATCTGGACCATGGTCTCCTAACAGGTCTCCCTGTCTCCGCCTGGTTACTTCTTACAATGGATGTCTGGGGGGTTGGGCTTTCTTGCATCCCTTATTCCTCCCTAAGGCCCCTTGCTGCATTTGGGGAAATTTCCTTTTCCCTATTTCATATGGCTGTGGTGGGACAGAAGCCACAGGGGCCCCTCCTTCAGGTACCACCTCTTACCAACCAGGTCCTGTCAGGGGATGGCAGGAGACCCAAGCTCGGCCAATTAGACCAAAGCTCTCTCTTGACTTTTGACTTCTATCCAAATATGGAAGAAATAGAATTACTTGATGTCTAGGAGATGCCACCAGGCTGTGGTGCTCAAGACGCTGAATGTAGCATTCAAGACTGTGCCCGAGTCCCTACCAACTTCATTGCCCTTCTTTCCCACTATCCTGCCTTTCTGGGTCTCAGTTTTCTATATCTGTGAAATGGGGCTAATGGTGGCTGTCTGCCTCACCATGGGCAGGAGGACAGGTCTGCAATGACTAGAAGAGACAATGGTCACAACCTCACCATAAAAACTATAAAGAGCTGTGCCCACACTAGAGTGCAGAGTGTATTTCCTAAGACCCAGACAGCCTTACATACAGACATTTTCAACCTTGACTTTTATTTTCTTGTTTGTTGATTCCTTGGGAATTGTCACAAAACCTTTGTGGTTAAAAAAAAAAGTTCTGAACCTCCATTTCAGACATTCGATTTCAAGCAGAAAATAATTACCCTACCTCTACCTCGCTCGCTGCCTGTTGCTAGGTACCGAAAGGTACAAAAATGAATAAGACACAGCCCCAGATACAAGGCAGGATGAAACCATTGCTAATTAGAGCTGTAGTCAGTACTCAGAGGGCAGAAAAATAACCTCCAGAAAAACACAGAGATCAGGTTACTTGGTAAAATGTACATGATTTAATTTTGCCCCTTTCCACCAACACAACTAATCCCTTCCCCCATACACTTAATCCCACCGCGCTGGGGCCCCGTTCACTACCTGCTGGGCTCTTCTGGCCTCACACAGCCCTCCTCCTTCCAAATGTCAGTATGTAAGAAACAGCACCTTCTAGAAACCTGTTCCTCCCCCCAGGTCCTCCTTTTCCCTCGTTTTCTCAGTCTCCAGATCACCCCCTACGCAGCTGGGCTTTGCCCATTCCTCCAAAGTCGCTATGGCAGGGGTCCCCAAAGACCAGTCTACAGGATGCTCTCGCCTCCCCTGACTTCTGTGCATCTGCCATTCATGGTCACTCTGCCCTCTGGAAAGTCTCTCCTCCCTGGGCTTCTAAGACACTCCACTTTTTCAGTCCTCTCCTCCAGTTCCTTCTGCTCAGTCTCTTCAGCAGGACCCTCTTCCTGCATCCATCCCTAAAGTGTCAGTCATGGCGCAGTATCCGGCCCCACTCCGTGAACTCTCCTGGTTCATCCATCCCCCATGGGAGATGCTCACACCTCTGTGAGCTCCAGGCTGGCACATACACTTTCCTACTTGACAACAGCTCTAGTAGAGGTCACCAATGGCCATTTTCCCTCCTTACCACCCATGTCCTTTGATCTTGTCCCTGATTTATACAGACAAGAGGACTTTAGGTGACAGGCCTCTCAACCTCTCTGCCATCATGTCTACCCGTATTTCGTCTCAGCCCAGCTCAGAAATTCTCCCTCACCCAAACGGACTCTAGCTGTTTCTCTCCCATCGTCCAAACTCCCAGGACAGGTACCATGCTGCCAGCTTTCCCTTCCCCTTTCATTCTCCTCTGCCCACCTAGCAGGGGCTTCTGCCCCATCTCTCATAGGAATTGCTGTGTGAGGATCTATAGGGCCCCGAATTGCTCAACCAGTGGGCTCTCAGTCCCTATCTCACTGGCTTTTCTCTTTTGTCTACCTATTATCCTTTCTTGGAAACATGCCACGTCCCTGGGTTTCCATGCCAACACAGGCTCCAGGTGCTGTTTCCACCTCTTTCTGACCACTTTTTTGCCTTTGTAGGCTCTTCTTTCTCTCTGCCTACTGGTAAATGGGGGAGAAGTTCTCTGTCCTAGGCCCCCTGTCTCTCCTCAGTTGCTATCTTATGCTAGGGCCAGCTCACCTAAGCCCATGGCTTCAGTCACCATCAGTCACAACCCAAATCTTTTGTTCAAATCTCTGCTGAGATCCAAGCTCTCTCCTAGCTCCTCTCAGGCCATCTCCACCTGGGTGCCCACCTTTCATTCAACTTGTCCAAAACTGAGCCCAATGATTCTCTTCTAGCCCCACCCCCAGCCTGCTCTTTCTCCTGGGCATTCTCCTATCCACCCGGTCACCCAAGATACAAACAGGTAAAGCAACCTTGACTCTCTTTAACCTCAGCAGTCAGTCAGTCAGGAGCATCTCCTAATTTTACCTTCTCTCCATCCTCTTGGCCCCAATCCTAGTTCAGGCCTTGCCCTCTCTACCTGGACCACGGCAATCATCTCCTCATTGGCCCTCACATCTCCAAATGTCTCCAAGTAACTGGAGTAATCGTCTTAAAACAGAAATCTTACTGTGGAAACTGCATGCTCAAAATGCTTCAGTGACTCCCTATTATCAAGAAGAAAAAAAAACCCAGCTCTTCAATTAGATAGACATGGCACTGGGTGATCTGGTCCCGCCTTCTCCATCCCCTGCCTCTTATTTCCGGCTTTGGCAACCCTGACTGCTTATGAGTTCATCCGTGATGCTCCTCACTTCTGTCTCTGCCTTCTACCTGAATAACTGCTATTCACCCCGGCACCTCTTCTAGGACCTTCCCTGGAAACTCCCATAAAGCTTCACACTTTTACCACCCACCCCAGCTGCTCCGAGCTTTGACTGTGCCCCATGCATATCTCTGGACTTCTTCTGATTACATACCATTTGAGAATCTCTGTGTCTTTCTACCTCATTAACTGTATGTCCAAGAGCAGACACTACAGCTTATTTATCCTCGCATTTTAATACCTAATGCAAAGTAGACACTCAATAAATTGTTGTATAAATATATAGGTCATTTGCCCTCTCTTGAAACTTTCACCTCTCTCCTCTTCAACTGTCATGTTACTTTTGGAAAAGTTTACATCAATTCATGTTCCCCTTAGCACTGAATAATAGTGCCAGTTCCACTGTATCCTCAACAGCACGGAGGATTCTAAAACATTTTTGTCCTAATTTTTTGGTGAAAACTTGTCTTTATTGTTTTATTATTGCTCTTCTGTTAATAGTGAAATTGAACATTTTTTCCAAAAAATTTTAGTCAATTCTATTTCCTCTTCTGTAAACTTTGTTTAGGTGAATTACATATCTCTCTGTTGCATTTTTACTGTTAGGGTTTTGTGTGTGTTCTTTTACACATTACGGATTTGCAAATAGCTTACGCACTCTGCTTTTTGGTTCTGTTTGTGATATTGTTTGACTTTGGAAATACTTAGTTGTGATGTAGTCAAATTGGCTGGTCTTTGCCTTCTTGATACTTTTTTGTTGTTTTTTTAGCTTAGAGGGGCTCCTCCTTTCAGGTATTTGTTAAACATCCAATTACTTTTCTCTCTAGTTTTTAATGGGTTTATGTCTCCTTTCTGATCAAAAGGTTTTGAATTTGGGTGTGTGCTCTGGGATGAGGTTGAAAACGGATTATTATTTTCCTTCCAATAGTCAAGCCTTTCCCTTGTGGCTCTGATGTTGAGCTAAGCTATTCCTGGCTGATTATGATGGCACCAGGACCACAATATCCTCAGAGAACATGCCAGCTGGACAGGGAAACAAAAGGCTATGGGAAGGTATGAGTTCGGGCACAGTGACAATGAAATACAAGGAAGCATTTAAAGGGAAGGAGCAGAAAGCCTTTCTGGAAGCCCTGCCAGGAAAGTGTGCAGAAAGATGGTTCACCTACTTTGCCAATATGAATGGCTGAATCTAGCTGGCACCCAGTGGTGCTGAAAGCTTCTGATTCTGCAAGGAAACATCACTCAGGGATCACAAGGGAGGGAGAGTCCAATTCCATGCCTCACCTGCATCAACCTACCTGCATAGACTCTGGCAGGACATTTCACCATCAGCAGAAAAATCTCTCAGCCAGTTCCTGCCACGTTCATCTTCCAGGGGGCTGCAGCCATCACTGCGATTCCTCCACGCTCCAAGATGTGGACTTGACCCAGATCCTGGGGCTAATGCACCTTGTCCATTTACTGCTCTAGGTACCAGGGCATCTGAGGGCGATGCTAGAGCTAGAAAGGAACTCAAAGATTATGTAGTCCAATTGCCTCCTTTTACAAATGGGGAAACTGAGGCCCAGTAAGGGGAGGTGACTCACAGCCCCCTGTTGCCACAGGAAGGATGCCAAGCTGTCAACCTTTTACGAGGCTCTTTTCATATACCTTTTGTGACATATTAGTGTCTGCGATACCGGTGTGTAAAATATTAGTCTGGAGGCTGGAAAATATTGTTACTTCTGAGTTGCCAAGAGGAGACTTGGGAAACAAACTGAATTCCCTCACTTCTGAAAGACTGGGCCATTTAATTCCTTATGGAGTCTAGAGACTGATTGAGCCATCTAGCCATCTAGTCATCCAACCACCCCTTGGCCAGCCAACCAGCAGGTTCTATGCCAGCCTTGGTCAGGCAGGTAGTGTGTCTCATCAAGGGACAAAGATCAAGCCCCTAGCCTCAAGGGTTGTGCAGGCCTTGATGGCCAAGCTAAAGAGCTGGGACCACAGGCAACAGCGAACCACTGAAAAGCTATGCTTGTCTTCTTTCCTCAGAGACCCTCCCAAGTCTACTTTGACTCTAAGCTAAGATTCTTGACTGTTCTGCACCCACAAGATGTAAAGTTTATTCTTCAATGCAAAAAATCCTTTGATGAAACCCTTGTTTAACATACTTTCTTTCAACCAGTACCTCTAAGACTGCAGTGACAAGGATAAAGTTCACTGATATTTCACAGAAAATGGCTTTAGAAACGTTAAAGACTTTCTGGTCCAGCCCTTCCTTGGTGTACAGACAGGAAAATGGGCCTGGAGAAGAGCGGGCAGAGGAGAGCAAGGCCACAGAGGAAGTGGGTGGGGATCAGGCCCAGGGCCTCAGCTCTCTGCCCTTGCCCTAGAGGGCGGTCACTACCAGTGTGGGGCGGGGATTGGCAGAGTTCAGCTTTGGAAGAAGTGGTGAGGCGTCCAAGTGTAGACTCCACAAGCTGCCCAGGAAAAGAGATGAGAGGCCAGAACCACTCAAGGGGTTAGTCTTTGGAGAAGATTCATGTTCAACCTGTATCTGACAGAGCACTCTCACAGCCCTGCACTGGTTCCCTCATGAGGAGGAGGCTGAACAGGCAGTGATTTCTCTCTAAGAGAATAAAAATTTGTGGATAGCCCTGGGCAAGCTGGTGACCAAGCAGGGATGCAAAGTTAGACTCTGGCCTCTCAGGAAAGAGCTATGCCTTGGTGCTCCTCTCCCTTTTAGGATACTGTCATTTTGGGGCAGGTGCTGACATACAGCCTCCCAAATGTTGTCTCTCCCTAACTCCACTCCAGCCCTGATGAAACAGCGTTGTAATTATCTGCCTATGGGCCTGCCTCGGTGCCCTCCCTCCTGTCGAGCTGAGCTCCTCAAGAAGCGCAGTCTTCTTCTGCATCAGGTTCTCAGAGCTTTGGCACAGGGCCTGACAAAGGCTCCCAGCAGGAATGAGTGGGAGAGTTGGATGATCTGCCTGCATCCCTAAGAGGTCTGAGCCCCACAGGTCGGGGTGGGGGCATAGAAGAGAAGAAATAACCGAGTCAGGCTCCAGTGGATGTTAGGATCTCCATTTTACCGGTGAGGAAACTGAGGCTTAGGGAGGTATGGTTACAAAGTCAGGGGCACAGGGCCCTGAAACCTCACCTCTCCAGGCTCATTGGTCCTAAACTGTTCCCCAAGACCACCCGCTACTCAGAGTCCTGACACTCCGAAGGGAGACCAAGGGCTTTTGCCTGAAGCCTTCAGCTGCTGCATAGCCAGCTGCTCCCCCTGCCTTGAGTCCACTTGATAATCAGTTTTTCTCAAGATATGAAATTCTCCCCCTCGAAGCCTGGCAGACCAAGCTCAACCACTCTTCTGGTTTTAGTCAGAATCGCCTTCCTTCACTTGCTGAGGACAGACTGCTGGGTTCCTCCCTCTTTTCAGAGCGCTGACCCTTTCACCCATTACGGGGGATGAGGGCTGAGCTTCCCACTTGATGCCAGGAGGCTGGGTTCTGGCCCTGCCAGCTGACTGAATGCAAGTGACGACCCATCTCTGGCCCCATTTCCTGTATCTCTTCAACGAGAGCCAGCTTTTGTCCATCATCTTTCTCTGTCCTCCCTCCCTAACCCACTCCTTCTCCTGCCTTCCCCTCCTCACCACCATGGCTCCTCTGATCCACCTCTCCCACCTCCAAGGATCTCGACAACACAATGGCCTTCTGCTGTCACAAAGCCCCGCTGCTTTCACTGCTCAAATGCTAGCCTGCTCCCTCCTCAGAGAATGCCACCTTCAATTAAATGTTGTTCTGACTGGGGCACCCCCTGTTCCCATCAGATCCCTGTCTGTGATGCTTCCTGGAAGTGGAAACTGAAGATTTTTCACTCAGGACTGAGTTTAGGGGCCTGCCACCAACATGTCAACCTTAGACTCCCTCACTGTCTCCCAAGGCAGCCCTCTAAGGCAGCCGATACTGGTGGTCCTTCATTTTACTTTTAGCCCAGTCTCTTTATTAAAGCACAGATGCTTGATTAGATGGTGAGAAATAACATCTCATTTATTATTTCACTGCTCAAACATTTATAGTTGTCCTCAAGTCTCAGCCTGAACATCAATCCTCCCTAGACTACACCAGATCCCCTCCTAGACTCCTCTTATGGCACCTGCCATAGTCCATAGTTATATCTATCTGTGGGATTATCTGCCCAGTGTCACCCCCTTTCTCATTAGCCTCAATGACTCCCTGACAGCAAAGACTGTCCACCTCATCTACCCTGCAGCCCCAAGGCCTAGTCCTACACAAGATTCTGAAACGTACCCTTGGATTAAATAACAATGCAAGCCCCTTAGGAAGGTGGGGGGAGCCCAGACAGTCTGCACTATAGCACTCAACAGAGGGCTAAGTGAAGTAATCTAGACAAGTGGATCTCTAGGGAGAGGGAAGAAGCCCAGGAAGGCTTCCTGACAGAGGAATATCTGGGCAAACACGGCACAATGACTAAAGCATCAAGCACATGCAGGCTGTCCTGCAAGGGCACTGCGACCTTCCCAGAGCTCAGTCACCTTCCTCAAGTGCATCCAGGAGGTCCCAAAGACCCCAGAAGAAAGGATTCCCAGTATATTAGGGCTAGGAAGACTGTGTTTGCTCCAAAGACATTTTAGCTATAAGGAAACTGAGGCCCAGAGCAGGACACAGACCAGTTGCTAAAGAAGCCCAGACCTAGGCCTCACAGGACCTTGTGTTACCAGGTACCACGTGAGCAACATTTTCACACTAGGAGCCAGTGACCGGCAGAATTGCAGGGCATGGTTTTCTAAGGCCTGGTGCCCCGCAGAAAAGGTATCTATCTACTTCTCATTTTCCTGAAAGGCGGTTCAGGAAGAGGGGGCAGGGTGCTGCCGGTGTTGCCTTGGCAAGGTGGAAAGCAATGCTGGGCAGGCAGAATGCTGATTTGGCAGTCACCTTGGGAGGGGGTGGGCTGCAGGCTTCCTGCTGGAAAGGGATACAAATCTTTCAGAGGGAGGCCTGTTTGTGACTCTTTAGTGAGCTTGACCTATGACAGAAAGCTGCTTTCTGAGGGAGAGCAAAATAAGCAATAATCTTGGCTTCATTTATCATCCAGGTGCCTCCATGGGAGAGCATGGCCACAAAAGCCTTTTTTGTTTGTTTGTTTTTGGAATTTGCAGTTGTCTATTTTCTTAAGTCCTCCCACTAGGCTAGAACCATGCACTCCTGGAGAGCCAGGCCTGCGTCTTGCCCCTGAAATCCCCAACAAGCCCAGTACAGGGGCTCAATGTTTGCAGAACAAACCATCCTTTCCACATGCACGACTCCTCAGCTTGTTGAGGCTTTGCTGAACCACGAAATATATTCAGAAACCCAGAAAAAAGAATTCAGAAATAAAAACACAAAAGCACCAGACAGGAAAAATACCCAGCAGATACAATCAATAAAAGTTTGGTTCTCAGAAAATACCTTTAAAATGAAGAAATCTTTGGCAAGTTTTGACCAAGAAAAGGGAAAACACTGATAGGCAATGGTAGGAATGAAGAAAGGGATAAACTGACAACGGAGAGATTGAAAAGAGCAGGAAAAAACTACACAAAACTTTACAGCAATAAATTAGCAATCTAGGTAAAACGGATGACTTTCTGTGAAATGACCATCACCCTTTCACCACTGTTATCTCAATAAACCCTCACAAACAGCCTTGTGCCTTGGGCAGGCAGTGCTCCTGTTCTGTTTTCTAAAAGGAAAAAAGATCGAGAGGTGGACAACCAGCACAGGGCCCTGACAAGCCCCCTGGCTTGGTCCCCAAGGTCACAGCCATGGGAGCACGTGTGCACCAACGGCACAGAACCGCGCACTCCCGAGCTTCCAGCCATTGCCCAAAGCCCCCTGCCTGGACGGACAGCTTTATTTATTTTTCCACTTGAAATGCCATAAGGGGTTTCACTTTATTTTTACTTCAAAAGCAGCACCATAAAAATCCTTGATGATTAGAGCTCCAGCTGTCTTAAGTTGTTTGTCAAGGGATCGGTTACTCAAATCTCCTACGGAGGGAAACAGTTTCAGGCGAGAAGCCATGGGAGCTGAGAAACACAAATGTCTCATCCCTGAAAACTTTCAGCTTCCCTCCTGTTCAACGCCTGGCCTGCCCCCTGCTCCCCCCCCTCCCCAATCCCACCATCTGCTCTCCAGAGAGCAGATCAAATTTTTGGGCTAAGGTACTCTGGCGCCAAGGACTCAGCCCCTCCATGCTACCCCTTTGCCCCCCACCAACTTAGAAATCCAACACCACGACCCAAATGGACTGCAGCCACATAAAACCACAGGGTAAAGTTTATAAAGCTTTATTAAACATTTCAAACAGCTGTGCAACGAACACACCAGAAATAAAAGCTCCAGAATAGCAGTCCAAATGTTCCACAAGTGTGGCCTTGCGGTCCCATTCCCTAGATGGACTGCCTCCAGTTCTGCCCTCTGCCTGGCCCACCTCCCTCCCCCGCCCTGCAGGCGAGAGGAAGATGGATGGTTTAGACTGAAGGACAATCATGCTGATCCCCAGTGGGCAGGGGCCAGGAGACAGTCTCGTTCGCCAACACTTTTACTGAAGCGCAGAAAAAGAAAAAAAGCAAGTGACAGTCACAAAGTCTTCCTGTGTATTCTTCAGAATGTACAGTCTCTAAGTGCAGGACTGGAGAAGCTCCTGGCATGAGGATGATGGCCACTGCTCCCCTCTGTCTTGTCTGAACCACCTCGGAGTCCAGTGAGCTGGTCACTCTGCAATCCCCATGCTAAATAAAAACTGTAGCGGCACCTACTATATAGCTAGCTATTGCTACACCTCAACATCAGAACACGTTCGATAAAGCTTCTTTAAAAGGGATATACACATGTACTTCTACACGTACATATACACACACGCACGCACAGCACACCAAAAAATACCCAAACACCTATAGAGGGGATCATGGCTGTTATGAAATACACAAGAACTCTCCCATTCACTCAGCTGGGGACTGCTAGATCTACGTAAACACATCACACTTCAATCCTGCAGAGCATGCATGGGAGACAGAATGAGGCCCCCTACTCCTCTCGATGGCTGAGAGAGGCAGGAGGAAGGGCAAGGGAAGTGAAGCTGGGCTGCCAAGGAGGTGCCCAGGCCCCTAGGTGAAAGAGCAACACGTATCTGTTACTTCTTTCTTAAAAATGAAGTGAAGAAAATACTGAAGATTTGTAGACAGCGGTCAAGACACATTTCTGTCTAGCCTGCTGGCCAGGGAAGAAGGATGAAAAAGCGAGGCTCTCGGGCGTCAGCAATCTCTTTAAGTTCGAGATAAGTGCAAAAACGAGCCCTGTCTTAGACAGGTGCTCCCCCAAAAAGGAAAGGGATAGAAGTGAAGTTAACAGGAAGCCAGGAGAGGGGCAGAGGAGTCAGTAACTCTGACAAGGGAGGACCCCCTGACAGGGAGGGGTCACAGAGGCGACAATGATACTGGCATATTATTTGCCCGGGTCATGCTAGGGCAGTTGACCAGGATGGGTGCAGACCCCTCGCAGGAATGAGGCAAGGGAGGTGGCCATCCTGCCAGCTGGGGGCCAAGGTGGGGACAGAACACACACAACCACAAGACCACCCACGACTACAGGACTCTACAATAAAAGCACCGGTCAGTGCCATTATTCACATTATAAGGATAAAACATCACAGGCCAAAAAGGCGTTGTCAGGAATGTGGCACCCGCGGGGCTGCGGGATTTGAAACTCCAATGCTTTATGACCTATGTCAATGCCTCCCCTCCCGTCTTCTGCTTCCTTGGAAAGCTAACTGGGCTGGCTGTTAGGTGCCCACAACGCCGGGGTCGTGCGCCGATTCTGGAAGCGGGGAATCGGAGCAGTGGTACAGGAAGCAGTTTCCCCAGCAGCTATAGCAGATGAGGAACAGGGCTGCCAGGAAAACCAAGGCACAAATTGTGCAAGGCTTCCGTTCCAGGAGGAAGCTGAGCAGGTAGAAGCCCATGAACATGGAGTGGCTGAACCACAGGGCGGGGTTGAGGGGCTTGGGGATGAGGAGGACAGGCAGCAGCCACTGGAGGCAATACATGATCTCTGCTGGACAGGGCCTTCGCCAAGGCCACCGGGCACCGCTGCAGGAACCGACCTAATGGGAGCCAGCCGGCGCGGGCGGCTGCCCTCCGCTTTCTTCAACCCTCGCTCTCCAGGAGCTGAGCCGCTGTGCTCTCTGGCTGTCAGCCCGGGATCACCAAGGCAGCAGGGATCCTGAAGAGAAAAGTCAACACAACAGACAGACACAAAACAGACAGACAGACAGACAAAAAAAAAAAAAACAGGAACAATGTATACTTATTTGGGAAAATGGATCATGGTTAACAACAGTAAATGTGAATGCCCTTTCCTCCCTGCCCACCCATTAAAGTCTACTCCTCTCCAAGTCACTCTTTCGGCAAGCTTCCTGGTGTCTCCCCTTCTTGGGGGCTGGACCAGAAGGCTCTACGGCAGGTCCGGCACAGTGGACTGGCTTTGCCTGGGCCCTGCCCAGCAGAGATCATGTATCGCCTCCTGGGGCTGCGGCCCGTCCTCAAGGGGCCCAGACCTCACAATACCGCCCTGTGGTTGCCACCGGAAGGCCATGGGCTTCGTGCTGTGCTCCCGCGGAATAAGAAAAGGATTCTGTATCTAGTATCTCTTCACAGCAGGTGCTCAGTGGAGAGTTAAAGTAGTGAGCGGCGCGCTGCCGGCGGCAGGTCGCCGGGAAAGGATCCTTGCAAGCTCCGGGAACCTGCCACGGCCGCACCACCGAGTATTTTAAGATGGCAGCCTGGGACAAGCTTGCCTTTTTCAAACAGTTTGTCGTCATTTTGCCAAAACCAGCCAACTTCTTCCAAAGTCAATGCCGAAAAAAAAAATCACCCTGCTACTTCGTCCAAACTGACCTCTCTTGGTTCATTTACGCTCTCCATCTGCTACCGGCACTGTACAGAACTTGACCTCTGTGAGTTTTTAATCAAAATTAATTGTCTATCCACATAGGGGCAAATGCCAGTTGGCTCCTGTGCCAGGCATTTTGCTGAAGAGAAGTTCTCTCGAGCAGCGGGACACGGGCACGCCAAGGGCCGCGCTCGAAGACCGCGTTCCCGTCTTTCCGCCGGGCTTTGTATCCGAGCGGCGGCAGCCAACGACCCTCTGGTAGCAGTAGCAAAACCCTGCTCCAAGCTCCAGATGCCCATTGCAACGGGTACCAAGAGCCTCGCTGGCTGAGAAAGGCCTGCTGGGGCCTGGGGGTAGGGGAGCACAGGTTGAAATGACCTGCCTAGCTGAAAACTATCTTTGTGAGCAGACCACCTCTTGGGAAGCTCGTCCCATGCTTTCCGCGCATATAAAGGCGCCAGTCCCTCCCGCATCCATCCCACAGGGTAGAAACCCAGTGACTACCCCCTTTGCGCCTAGGGCTCAATGCCTGGCTACAAACGCCACCGCTGTACATCTAGCAGCCGTAAGAAGCGGGATGAAACGAACTGGGGAAAGGTTCCACGCTAAGAGATTCTCGCAAAGCAGAGGATGTGACTTATATTAAATATTTGAAGAAGGGTGCTGGGTGGGGGGCCTGTGAAGCCAAGGCTTCTAGAAGCGAAACCTGTTTTTGCTCCGTGGGGCAGAGGATCCCTCTCTAAATTAGGTCTCTCCATCCATGCCCAAGGTGCGATCTGGCGCAGCACCGGACATTGGGCTCGAATTCGCAGGCCCGGGCTCCGAGAGAGGTGTTCTGCTACCAAGAGGCGTGCACCCCTACTTTCACCCTATGCGCTAAACTGAGCGTTGCATTTCCCCACTATTTTACATTAAAATTCAAAAGCGGGCACAACGGAATCTTCTGGAAAGGGGCTAAGATGAACTCAGGAGGCGGGGGTCGGTGTGGAAAGAGCAGATGGATTATTTTTTTTCCTCTCCTGACGAATAAGGAGCGCCCCCAGCCACCCCTCCTCACGGACCCTCACCAGAAAGCGCGCATGCGCACTTGGGTGGCGGGCGGATACTTAAGACGCGGCCACCGCGGCTGCGGCAGTGCGCCCAACAGCGGACTCCGAGAGACCAGCGGCCCTCGGAACCAGCAGCACTCGCTCTCAACCACCCACTCACCACTCTCGGAACCATGGCGGCAGTTGCGGCAGCCTCGGCGGAACTGCTCATCATCGGCTGGTACATTTTCCGTGTGCTGCTGCAGGTAAGTGTGCCCGGGTTCTAAGTGGGAGAGGGTCCTGATGCGCACCCCCTGAGCCGGAAAGCCCACGTCGCGATTGCCGCATCCCAACCTGTCCTGATTGCCGCGATCCCTGCCCGCCTAAGTGCCGCGGCCGGCACCGCACGCCCCTGCCCGTCCCCTGCGCCCTCCTCCTCGCGTTAGACCCTTCCCAGTGCGCCCGCCCGGGAACAAAGAGTTCGGGCGCGGCGGGCGCCAGCCGCGGACGATCGCCGAGGCTCTTAGCGACCAAAGTGGTAAGAAAATCCCGCTACATCCAGACTCGACCCCAGGAGGGAGGCGGGGCACTTCTATTTTGCAAAAAGCGACTTTACAGCTCACATAGCGAAATTTTTCCGCCTTAGAAAAACTGCGCACTGCGGTGAAATTTTCCTTTAAAAAAATGTAGCACTTGCGGGGGTGGGACGAAAAATAAGTTAGGAAAAGGCACTTCTCAGAAAAAAAAAAACCCAGCACTTCACAAAAAAGAATACAACAAATTAGAGAAAAAGTAATTCGCGGGAAAAAATGAAATTAGTGAAAATGCGCATTGCAGGAAAAATACATCAGACAAAAGCACTTGGCAGAAAAAATGCGTTAGATAAAAAGCGCATTGCAGAAAAAATTAGACAAAGGAGCTAACAGAAATTACGAATCGATAAAAGCGCTTTTTAAAAAATTACAGGAAAAGGTTCTATTTTGCAGGAAAAACAGAAAAAAGCGCTTCCGAAAAAGGATATTTCGCTTTATTAAAAAAAAAATCAGGGGCAAAGCGTTTTGTGTAAAAAGAAATAAGAAAGCGCTTTGCCTATAAAATCATCTACCCTAAAAGCACCCCTTGCAGGAAGAATTCCCTGCTAAAAGGAATCCTTTGCCAAAGGAATCGCATATTTCCTTCAAGGTGTTCCTGGAATGCTGCATTTACTGGGTAGGATTCGCTTTTCGAAATCCTCCAGGGACACAGCCCATTGCGAGAAGTGAGGTATACCTAAGTTGTGGGTCCAATCAGCTTGCGGCCATGCAGCCTTCAGCACAGTTGGAAAAGCTCCAGCTGCCCTGACTCGTGGACAAGCTGCGCCCGCACCCGCCTCTCCTCATTGGACAGGCGGGCGGGGCAGGGGGCGGGGCGGGGGCGGGCACGGCAGCGCTGCAGACACACTGCGGGTGCCCGCCTCTAAGGGCAGGTCCCGGGTCTCTCTCTCGCCACAGGTGTTCAGGTACTCCCTGCAGAAGCTGGCGTACACTGTGTCGAGAACCGGGCGGCATGTGCTGGGAGAGCGCCGCCACCGGGCCCCCAACTGAGGCTCCAGCCCCCACCCCTGGGCGGCCGTGTCACCAGGTGCTCCTGTGAAATTCCACCAGCATGGGAGCCAATGCCGCACAGGAACGGGGGGTCCCCTCTGCCCTCTCGCCAGAGGAGCACTTGCCAAGGTCAGTGAGGGGCTGGTAGGCCCCCGGAGACGCAGCACCGACAATGACGACAATACCAGATCCCTTCCCCACCCCTTTGCACCCGTCCCACTGCGGGTGGCGTTGAGGGGGGGATGGGGGGAGCAGACCCCTGAGATCTGGCCACAGGCAATGCATTCTGATCTGGACCAAGTCGGGACAGCGCCATCCCAGCCCCGCAGTGAAGGCCATGCCAGCAGGCCCCACCACAGAGATCCAGACAACCACACCAGCCAGCAAAAATGGACATTCCAACATCACCAGCCGAAGCCCTGAATCTCGGTGCAGCAGACAAGGCGACAACTCCGTGCCGTGTGGCGGGACTGGAGGGCAAGGGTGAGGGAGGAGGGTTAAGAAGCTGAGTGGGGCCCTCTCACTGTCCCTTGCCTACAGCACGTGCATTCCAGCCTTTCTGCCTCTGCTCCCTCAATTCCTCTTTCCCCCTCACTCCCACCCAAAAGAAATGTCACTCAATTTGGACCTATTCAACAAGAAAATGAATCCCATCTTTATGAAAACACCTTCTCTGAGCCCCCAGCCCCTCACTGATCTTGCTTTCCCCAGGTCTCACGCAATTGTGGTCAATATTGTGGTAATCGCTAATTGTAATGATTGTATAAGTGTGCATTAGTTGTGTCTCCCCGGCTAGATTGTAAGCTCCTGGAGGACAGGGACCGCCTCTACAAAAAATAAAAAAAGTACCTCCCCCATCTCGCACAGTGTCCCAGGACCCTGCGGGGTGGTGGAGGCGCACCAAAAATTTTGTCTCCTGTGACTTCTTTTGTCGTTTCATCACAAACTTCTAAGACTGGGCTGATGCACCCATTTTGGGGTGAGCACAGTACTTGGGAGAGGGAGGGAAGAGGGGGAGGAAGGGGGAGTGGAAGGAAGGTGGGGAGGAAAGGAGGAGAGGCAGCAAAGTGGGAATAAACTGAGACCATCTCAACCCTTTCCTGAGATAAAGGACCACATCACCTCCACCACCCAAAGAGAAAGGTGGACATCTTCACTTGTGGTCTCAGAATAAGGGACCACTTACCCCTCCCCAAAGAGATGGGTACCTTCATTTTTCCTGGGATAAGAGGCAAATAATCAGTGGAAAAGATGGGAGGAGGGGAGAGATGGGAGGAGAAGAAAGGTGGGAGGAGACCCCAAAATGGGGTACTAGGGACCAAGAGGGTGATAAGGAATTCAGAACAAGAAGTCTTATCTCCAACCTGGATCCCCAAGGAAATGTGCACGGGGCAGGGTGGGCACTGGTTTGGACAATAAGCATGGGATAAAAAGTGTGTGGTACCTCCCCCAACCAGCTCATCCCTCCAGGCCCTATAACCTCTACCAGGACCAGTACAAGGGCATTCTGCCTGGCCCTGCTACTATCCAGGGTCTCCACCCCACCCTCTGGAACCTCTTTCCAGCTCACTCTCCCCACTACTGAGTTCTCTGCTTCTCCTAGCTTTAGCCTCTATATTCTTAAGGGTGCTTACCGGGTCCCTGGCCCCGGGCTCTCCCCTGCCATCATGCTAGGGTGGGCAGGTGGGCTGGCTGCTCTGCTCCCGACTTTTCTCTCCCCTCTCCTCAGTGTGTCCAGGCTCCTCTTACATGGGGTCAGCTGACTGCCTCACCAAATGTCCCTGCCGCCTGTTCAGCCTCGTCTCTGGCTTTATGTATCAATGTCACCACACACCTGTTCCCGGGTCAACATCCAGGGAGTGAGTTGGAGGGCCATAAATCTTTCTGCTATCTCCTCAAATCCCTTAGTCACAGCTGTCACAAACACTTCTGGAGCACAAAGTACCTCGCCCCCTTGAGCCTGATGTTTCCCGTCCCTAAGCCAGCCCCTAGCGTTTCTCAGCCCAACTACCAGCACCTTTGGGGCATCTATACCTTCAGTTCAATGTCAGAGAATTATGGGCGTGGAAGGTATTGGTTCTGGTATTGGCTTTGCCGTCAATCAGCCCAGGGAACCTGGTCAGGTCACTCCTATGCCCTTCCCTTCAGTTCCCGTCTGTAAAAGCACTGCTAAGATCCCAGTGAAACTGACATACTAGAAACATTCTGCCATCAAAGTGGCCATCAGGACTCAAACAGGACTGGGGTCGGGCTGTGTGATGAGACTCCATCTTCCTCAGGCTGGGTGCTTCCAGCCCCTACCACAGCCTGAAGGGCGGCGGTGGGGAGGCAGGTCTCCTCTTGCCCCAGGGTGACTCAGCAGCAGGCAATGCCCACTCCCTTCTGAAGTCCACATCCTGGCAGGCCTCAAGACGGAGTTTCCGTGGTTTTCCACACTAAACCCAGAGAGCCATGAACATATTTCAACATGTGTTCTCAATGAAGGTTGCCCCTCCCCTCAGAGCCTTCAAGGGGTATGCCCACAACCCCACTGCCCCAGATGCTCTAACCTCAGCCCAGTTATAAGGTAGCTGGGTTCGGGGAGACAGGCCACAGCAGCATGGAAGTGTCTGGCTGCTGTCAACACAGGTGGTCCCCCTTAGCCTCCGGTGCCCCACTTTAAAAGGTAGGAGGCTGTTGGCAGTCCCTGGGCTCTCCAGATGATCTTGGCAAAACCCAAGTGCGGGGCTTCCTCCATCCATCCATCAGCAGGGCTCTGAGTGTGGCATGGTGAGATGACAGACTTCCAGCCAAGGGCTGTCCTGGTGGGCTGCACCTGCATGGGTCACTTGAATGTGCAACATCCACTCCCCACTCTTGCCTCCATCCAAACCCTCATGTTATGGCAGGAAACAACTCACCAGAGAAGACAGAAGGAATGTATTCACTTTCCATTCCTATGCAATGCTTAGAAGTCTGGTCTAAACACACCTTGTTTATAAAATTTTTTTCCAGAAGAGATACCATTAAAATATTTTATTCTGACAGAGAGCAATTGGAGGAATTGAAAATGACTACAGTTTTATTGCAAAGCCCTTAGTCCACAGGCCCCTCAAAGGCTCCCCTTCACCTAAATTGTCTCTACCATACCCATGAGACTTTGCTCCCACAAGGCCTAGGATAGAGCAGATGAGTTGTGAGAAGGTTGGAATGGCTCTGTGGGACTCCAGCAACAGGCGAGACTCTTGGCACCAATGACCCCAAAAGATGTTAGTTTCTTAGCCTAACCAGTTGAGGTTAAACCCTGGGTTGGGGGTTAGGTACCATGTCAGAGATGTGACACTGTTACCTCTACCTGTGGAATATTTGGATTGTGACTGAAGGACAAGTTTCTGGAGCTTCAGCTGCAGGACAGTAATAGCTTATTACATGTGGGATGGATGAGGGAGCAAGTTTGCCGTGAGCCATTTGCTAGACATCTATTTTCAAACTTGTATCTACTCAGGAGCTAGTACCCTAAAGCGAGATTCTGAATTTACAGTTAGTTTTACCCCCAGAGATTTAAACATGCACACACATACAAAACGTTAGTCTAACAACAGTCTCTTTTTCCCTGGTGACCTGTGATTTCCTCTATATGCCCCAGAGACATGCATGTCACCATCTTCCCTGGTTATGATCTTGCTCACCCTCCCCTCCTCCCCTTCTCCCTCCCACAAGGCCCATTCCCCAGCAGGATCCAGATTCCTGAGCATTCTCAGAATGGGAAGTCAGAGAGGCAGGCAACACATGGTCCTTGGTATATCACACAGTGACAGGCTTGAAATGGAATGCATATGTTTCAAAGATAAGAGAACAACAACAAAAAAGACAGCCAAACCCAGACTTTCAGATTCCGCTTCGAAACAACATATTACAGATAAAAGGTTAAACTGTTTTTAGCAGCAATTCTAACAAGACCAATTTCAGATATGGAATTGATCTGGTCACTGGAAAGCAACCAGGGCTCCACAATCTTTCAGCAGCTTTTCTTGACATTAATTACTCTCTGACAAATAAATAAACAAGACCTAACACCTGGCATTTGTATTAGCACTTAAGTTGGAACTTTTTTTTTTTTTTTTTTTTTTGGTCCTGGCTTTGGTGTTGCCGTCCAGAAGGTTGAGGGGATGGTTGTATCATGTCAGGCAGGGTACACAGAAGCTGTCCCCAACACACCAGTTCCCTGAAAGGGATAAAACACGATCCAAACCTATAAACAGAAAGACCATTTCTTTCCTAGGACAGACCCCAATCTGACCCAACATTTAGCGTTTAAAAGAGACACGGAAGCCTGAAGGAAATTCAAGGGTTGGAAGAGGGAAAGTAAAAGCAACTGTCTCCCATCCCCCATTCCTCTTTCCAGGCCATTAGTGTGCCAGGCATTCCATTCCTTCAGCTGCCCTTGAGGGCCACTCCCCACATATATTGGAGGAAAGGGAATGGGTATTCAGACTCGATGTAAAATTAGAGATAAAGAAGCTGCGACCCAAAGCAGAGCGTCAACCTATCATCCCAGACAGCAAGGAGGGGCGAGAGGCCCTTTTCTCTCCCCAAGTCCCTCTTGATTAATTAAAAAAACAAAAAAGCAACTTAAGTCGTGAGGATAGAGTGACAGGCTTCTCGGAAGCTGGGCCCCTGCCATGGGTCCCGGGGCCGAAGAGGTGGTCGCACCCTCCAGCTCCGCGCTCCCCAGCTCTGCCTGCCCCATCCTGGGAGCAGACAGGCGAGCGCTGACCTTGGAGGCCAGAAAGAGAACTCATGAGTCCGGTGACCCGCCCTAGGGCCGGGAAGGGACCCCCAAGGCCCAGGCTGGGGCCAAACAGGACAATCACGTGACACCGGACGGGGGGGCCCCCAGGGCGCGCGGAAGGAAAACCCCAGAGAGGGACAGACGACGCCTAAGGTGACCCCGAAGGGACAACATGGCGGCGCGGCCACATTGAGGGCCTCTCATCCCGCCCCCAGGAGGCCGACGCCACGGTACCTGTGAGCCCTGCCATGGCGCCGCCGACACCACCGTCGCCTTCGCTGCCGCAGCCTGCTTCCACCTCAGCTCGCCACAGACGCCGCAGGAAGCCAGGGAGACGCCCCCTTGGCCTTCTAGTCCAGCCGGCCGAGGACCCCTACTAGGATCGGGCTGCCTACGGCAGACGCCTGACCACACGACCTAAAGTGGGGCCGCTGTCGCCCGATACTCCCCTAACATTTGCCACAGAAGACCATTTTAAGACATTCTGCGACCGTGTGAAGAACTCTGAGGCCTCTGAAGTCCCAAGCCTGAAGAATTCTTGATCAGGCACATCTTGGGCAGCCCTGAATTACGCCCCACCCCCCACCTTGGTCTCTTTATGCATATGCAGCAGATTGTGAGCTTTACACTTTGAGAGCGGAGGGGGCGTACCCTAGTCTCTGTAGGTGAGCGTCAGTCCGTTCTCCGTGACCCTTGTTGGTGACCCGTGTACTCTGGGAAAATCTTTTCGTGGCTCAAAGTCGGCCTCCTCCCTGGCCCCTTCACTAAGGGGCCAAAGGTCAGGAGAGGAAATATTCCGACTCAGAACTGAAGATCTGACTTGGATCTTCCCCTTGCCCTGCACTTGGGACGAGCCACTTGCCCACCCTGACTTAGCTTCCCCAAGTCTGATGAACTTGAAAGCAACAGGGGGTTGTTTTGGGGATTAAATGAATCAGTATATCCGTTTATTAGCAAATTAAGCACATTCCTTGAGCGCTTACGTTTGTCATGTGTTTAAGTGCAGTGCTAAAGGCAAGAGGATAGAATGGAGGGTGATATGCACTGTTGAAGGCGCTGCCAGCCTACTGGGGGACAGTGGGGGAGGGGTAGGAAAACAATTATCAAATAATACTCTGTTAATAATTTTAATCAAATCAATATATAATTATGGATGACGGGCAGTGCTGTGGGGGGAGGTAAACAGTGTATGAAAAATTAATGGAGTCCTAATGTAGGGTGAAGGGTGAGGGCGGACTCTCCTTGGAAGTTGGCATTTAGGCTGAGAAACCGAAGGACAATTAGGAGTTGTTCAGGGCAACAGTGAGAGGGAGAATGTTCTAAGCAGAAAGAACCACTTGTCCTGGATGTGGGAGGCCGGAAGGAACAGGTCAGGGTGAGAAATGAACAAGTAGTGAGACAGTGCTACCTAATGATTTTGGATTTTATCTGAAGAGTAGTAAGAAGCCTTTTCTTCAGGGGAATGATACCAGATTTCGGTTTCTGAAAGGCCATCCTGGCTGCATGGCTTGGAAAGTACTTTCGAGTGGCTATGGGGAGCCAGGTTAGAAGGCTGTTGCAGGTCTTTAGGTGCAAAGTGATGGTGGCCCTGACAGGGTGGTGGCTTGGGGAGGTGGGGAAGTAAAGGATGTAAAGTGGAATGTGGGTGGTGCTGAGGCATTGGCAATGACACCTAGGTCTTTGCCTTGAGTATGAAGGAATGAAGGAGCCCTTGACTAAAGTGGTGAAGCCTGAAGAAGGCTCAGACTGAGGGAGAAGTTCAAGAGTTTGGCTTTGAGAAGGTAAGTTTGAAAAGCCTGGAAAACTTCTGGGTGGAGATGATCAATAGGCAGTTTTATATGTTGTATATATCCAGTTACAACCAACTGGTCGTGGCCTCTCACTATTTTGCTGCTTCTGGGTTGAGGGATCACTGCACTCATTCCAGGCTCACTCAATATTCAACCCTGGAAGAAAAGAGAAGTCTCATAGTGGAAACTTTCGTTTAGACAAGAGGAAAGTTAAGTGTTGACAAGGATGTGGAGCAACTGAAATTCTTGCACACTGCTGGTGACAGAGGAAATTGGTACAAACTCTTCAGAAAACTGGCAGTTTCTACCAAATGTAAACATAATCCTATGCTATGACCTAAAATTTCCACTCTTAGCTTTTTATTCCAAGAGAAATGAGTGCCCATGTCTACAAATAGGCTGGTACAAGAATTTTCATAGCAGATTTATTCATAGCTCAAAGTGGATATGGCCCAATGTTCATCAACAGGAGAATGGAGAAACAAATTATGATGTGTTCATCCAATGGAATACTGTGTTTTACATATAAAAGTACAAAACAATGACACGTGATACCATGGATTCTATTCACACATGGTATGTGGACTAAAAGAGTCTAGACACCAAAACAGTACATATTGCATGATTCCATTCATGTAAAGTTCAAGGGCAGGCGGTGCATACATTTTGGCACCGCTTAATTGCCATTAATCTATGGTTATAGAAATCAGAATAGTAGTTACCTGTGTTGGAGGGGGAGTAGAGATGAGAGAAGAGCAAAAGGGGCTTTTCTGGAGTGCTGGAAAAAGGCTAGATCTTTATATGGTTGGTGATTACATGGGTAAAAATTCATCAAACTATACCTTAAGATTAGGGGACTTTAGATACTTTATGTAAGTTATACCCCAAGAAAAATAAAATATAGTAGAAGAGGTCCTTCCCATCCATGACATGTGATGTGTGCTGCTGAGTAAGAACCAAGGCGCGTTCTGAAAGGACTCCACCTTCCAGAAAACTTCATGCCAGGTCTGGGCATTGACGAAGCAGTGGCCAACCCTCTCCCCCATTAGGGCCCCAGAAAACAGGGGAGGGTGAGGCAGGGCCTCTTACTCACAGGGAGCTGGCTCCTGTCCAGCTGGCTCCTTTCCTCTGTACCCACAAGACTTCTCCACCCTCCCAGCTCAGTTCCAGGTGGTAGGAATGACACCAAAGCTGGGCTCTGACTTGAGAGACATGGAAGGGCTTTCTGCCCTAAAATTTCGCTCAACAGACTTCAACTTCCTGCCAAGGTTTCTCCAACTTACTGCCTCCACCAGACACCTGAACTTCCCTGTGACTCCTGTTCTATCCTGCTCCACACTCCCCACATCTTATCTATCCATCCCTTCAGAATCCCTCTTCAGGCCTTTTCTGTCCCCACTGCCAAAGCCTTGGTCCAGGCCACCATCCTCTCTCTCCTGGACCCTGTATCAGCCTCCTCACTGGTCTCCCTGCCCCTCCCCCAGCCCCATCTCACCCAGAACCAGCATCCTCCACACAGCAGCCAGGATGATCTTTCTAAAATGACCCTCACTCTTCCTCTTGAGAGCATGTCCCCTCTCCCCTGTCTTTACGGTCAATAGCCTCTCCAGTTGCCAAAGCCCCAGATCCAATGCCATCTCCTCCATGAAGCCTTTGCATTCATTCAGCAAACATTTATGGAGTACCTAAAATGTGCCAGGCACTGTGCTAGGCATGGAGGATAGACAATCTGGGGAGACGGGCAGTGAAGCAAAGCCAGTGTGTATGCACTTCCTGTGTCTGTTAACTCTCACTAGGCTATGAGCTCCTTGAGGGCAGGGTTCATTTTGGGGTCGTTTCTAGACCTCGGAGCCCAGAATAGGGCCTGGAAGGGAGAAGGAGGTAGTAACTGTTGAATGAATGAATGAATGAATGAATGAAAAGCCAGGCTAAGCTTCTCCCTTTCTCATTTTCCTCCAAGTCTCCGATTTAGCTGGTAGCTAGGTCCATGGAATTCAGCTGGAACTGGATGGCAAATTTGGAGCTAAATGATAACGAATTGGCAAAATCTTATGTTATGGAACAATGTTTTGTGAAACCACAATACCTCCTTTCCTATATTATCACCAGAAAAATTATGTTTTTTGGAAATCCACGTTATTTCCTTGTCAAGACTTAGATGCAGGAAATTTAACTGCAGTAGAACAATAGTTATTTGTTAAACCACCAAAGAAGCTATGTGATATTAAAAGATTTAAAATGTAATAAGAAACAAACCAATGAATAAAACAAAACAGAAACAGACCCACAGATATAGAGAACAAACTAGTGTTTACCAGTGGGGAGAAGGAAGAGGGGGGCAAGGTAGGGGTAGGGGATTAAGAGATAGAAACTGCTAGGTACGAAATAAATAAGCAAGAAGGATATCTTGTACAGCACAGGGAAATATAGCCATCATTTTGTAATACATTCAAGGGGAATATAATCTATAAAAATGTTGAATCACTATGTTGTACACCTGAAACTAATATAATACTGTAAATCAACTATACTCCGATTTTTAAAAATGTAGTAAGAAACATTATTATCAAACTGACCAAAGAAGTAAATTCTGGGATAGTACAGATTATGCCGGAATGCCAGGGTTTTAATCCCACTCTGCATTTACTAGCTGTGTGTCCCTGAGAAAATTACTTAACCTCCCTGTGCCTCACTTTTCCCATGTGTATAATGAGAATCTACCCCATATGTTTGTTTCTGGGAATTCAATAAGTTTGTATTTCAAAGTGCTTATAATAGCACCTGTCACATAATTAGCACTCAGAGCTACCTATTAGTGCAAATGGATAAACCAGGCTACCCCAGGGGCTGGGTGTGCTGTGGAAACCCTGGTGCAGAGGGCTCCTCCCAACCATGAGCCATAAGATTGCCATCCTTGAGGAAGCAGGACAAGTGGGTTCAAATCTCGGACCTGCTTTCATGACCTGGAGAGATCCTTGCCTACTCTGTCTTCAGTTTCTCGAAGGTCCTTTTGTTCCTGACGTCTTAGGGTTTCTGCATTTGGGAGGCTGGTGCTGCTGTTTTAATCAAGTCTGTGGCAACACCTAGTGGTAATACTGGGACATGTCTGACATTCTTATTAAAATGTCTTCAACTTATGATATGAACGATAATGGTATATTAAGTTCTTCCTATGCTAGACACTGAGTGTTACATAAACTCTTAGTTAATTTTCAATGTAATTCTATAAGGAATAGATTGATGTTATCCTTATTTTACAGAAGAAGAAAGTAAGATTCAGGAAAATGAAGTCAGTTGCCTATACAGCTATAGGTGACAGAGCTGGATTTGAATCTAGGCCACGTGGACCTGAAGTCTGCATTTGTAACCCCTCTATGTCAGGCCCCTGGGTGAATACTGGGAAAACATGAAAAAATCATATCCTTGCCTGAATACAGAACATAAATATAATTGATAACTATTTTAAGGAGAATAAATGCAGATGTTTAAAAGGGAGAAAGGGTGCAGACTGTGGCCAAAAATTCCCACCTAAAATACAAAATGTATATTCCTTTGATGGAAAGCAGTGACATTTCAGCTATTTTAAGTAAAAAGGAAATGGATCAGCAGAATCTTGGGGTTTACAGAGTTGAGAGGCAATTGATGAAGCAAGCTTACACAGCTGCCTTCCTGCC